TTCCAGGGGGATTCAGTTTTCTTGCCTTTTCCGTCTTCTAGAGGTGTCTTGCATTCCTTGTTCCATGACCCTTTCTTCCATCTTCAAAACCAATAGCTTAGTATCTTGATGTATCTCTCTCTCTCTGATTCTTCAGCCTCTCTCTTTTAAGGACCCTGTGATTACACTGGACCCACCTAGATAATCCCCAGCTCAAGATCCTTAATCATATCTCTAAAGTCCCTTTTTCTACACAAGGCAACAAACTGGCATTCTGGAGATTAGGATATGGACATCTTTGGAACACCACTATTTTGCCTACCACACAGCATATTGTGGCTATCTTGCTTTATCAGAATATATAAATCTAACATTATCTTTAACTGGATAGAACTGATACCAAATTTATTTCACATGTCTGATGAAATTCCCATTTTTATGCTACATAAATTTTACTGCTGTGAACATTTTTTGTGCATATCTGTGTGAGTATGTGAAAGTACCTGTGGGATGAATTTTTTTTTTTTTGAGTTGGAGTTTCACTCTTGTCACCCAGGCTGGAGTGCAGTGGCACGATCACAGCCACCGCAGCTCAACCTGCTGGGCTCAGGCAATCCTTCTGCCTCAGCCTTCCAAGTCGCTGGAACTACAGACACACGCCACCATGTCCGGCTAGTTTTTCTGATTTATTGTAGAGATGAGGGCTCACCGAGTTGCCCAGGCTGGTCTTGAACCAGCGGACTCAGGCAATCCTCTCACCTCGGCCTCCCAAAGTGCTGGGATTACAGGCTGAGCCACCGCACCCAGCTAGGTTTTTAAAACTGAAATTGCTGGGTCAAAGGTGTTAAAAGTTAAACTTTAGCATATTAAAATGTTAAGAGTTTATGTGAGCAGCACTTCCAGAGTCGGGCAGCTCCAAATCAGAATTGCTTGGGGTTCCACTGAAGGAAACTGAGGGGAAGGCTTTTATGGGGAAAATGCAGAAGTAAAGCAGAGAAATTATCTGATTAGTTTGAGCACTTGCCTTTTTTTGGCCTGTCAGTGGGAAGGGGTCAAGAAAATATGACTAATGCCCAGTTGGCCCCTGTGAGTGACTGAGCTTAAGTTTCATTTTCTTTAAAATTTAGTTTTAGTTTGCTTAAGTAGCGCCCAGAGCTTTAGAGCCTCCTCAGTCTAAGGACCTCCCATTTGGTTATTTTAACAAAAGGTAAATATATTATTGATTTGATAATACTGCCGAATTGCTCTCCAAATTATTGTACCAATTAACTGTATAGTCCCACAGCCAAGCCTATTTCCTCACACTTTTGTCAAAATATTGTATTTGTGTGTGTGTGTGTGTCAGGGTCTCTGTCACCCAGGCTGGAGTGCAGTGGCATGATCACCATTCACCACAGCTTCAACTTCCTGGGTTCAGTAAATCCTTGTCTCAGGCTCCTAGGTGGCTTGTATAGGTGCACTCCACCACACATGGCTAATTTTTGAGTGCTGGGATTACAGACATGAGCCACTGCACTGCACCTGGCCAACAATCTTTTAATATTTTTTTCAATAGATGGGTTAAAATTATGTTAATACAAATTGCACTTTCATGATAAAAAATGAGGTTGAGCATTGTTGTATTACTTTCTTTTAGAATTTTCTAGATTAAACATTTTGAACCCTAAAGAGTAATATATTTCATGATGTACTCATGAGAATTGGGGTATATGATGCTTACATTTATTTAAAAGCATGTTTATTCCCTGCTAAATTCACTTAAAATAAATATACATTAAAATTTAATGGTTTTCAAAAATATTCTTTAGTAATAATTATCAAGGTTTCTATTTTCTTAATTTGTTTTTTATTTATTTTAAAGATGTGGGGTATAGTTCAGGATTAGGTAGATAAGATGTCATCAAACAGGTAAAGTTTGGGCTTCCCTTTGGTCCCCACTTCACCTGGTTTGAGATCAGGTACTCTTATTGATGTTATGTCCTCCCTGTAATAATTACCAAGATGATAAATATTTTACTGAGGGGACCCAAAAAAACCAGAATTATCTTTTGGAGGGCAGGCCCTTTGTACTACACTTGGAATTTGTTCCTCTGGATCAAATGGTCAACCAAAGTTTTTATCTAAAAGTTTTAAGGTTACGTCATGATTTGCTGAAGGAGTGTCCTGAGTTGTAGCAAACAGGTTCTTCCACCATGACAATGCATCTGCCTGCACTGCATTGAGTGTTCAGCAATTTTTGACCAAAAATGGCATGAACCCTGTGCCCCACCCTCCCCATTCACCCCACCTTGCCCATTCAGCCACTTTTTTTTGTTTCCCTGGATAAAAAATGTCCTCAGAGGGAAACATTTTGCCAATGTGAAAGAGGTGAAACAAAAAATGGCAGAAGCACTAAAAGACAATCAAATTGAGTTCAAAAGCTTTTTTTTTTTTTTTTTTTTTTTTTGAGTTGGAGTATCACTCTGTCGCCCAGACTGGAGTGCAGTGGCTGCTCCCGGCCACCGCAGCCTCGACCTGCTGGGCTCCGGCGATCCTTCCGCCTCAGCCTTCTGAGTAGCCAGAATTACAGGCATGCACTACCATGCCCAGCTAAGTTTTGATTTATTGTAGAGATGAGGTCTCACCAAGTTGTCCAGGCGGGTCTCAAACCCTCAGGCTCAGGCAGTCCACTCACCTCAGCATCCCAAGGCGCGGGATTACAGGCTGAGCCACCGAGCCCGGCTTCAAAATCTTTTTTGAGAAGTGAAAAAAGCATTTCGATAGGTGTATTGCATCAAACAGAGAGTACTTTGAAAGTGGTTGAAGCTTAAATGTGTAAAAATAAATACACAGTTTTTTATAAATGAATTTTGGGTCTTTTGGGGGTTCCCCCTCATATATTGGACTTTGGTGTTGGTTACATAAAATGTGATTACTTATTTATTTTCCTGTGTTTGTTTTGTGGTGTTAAAAAAAGAATTCTGAATTGGAATTTTTTTAACTCTAAAATTGCCGACTTTATAACATCAACTTTGAATTTGTGTCTGTATTACCTCCTTGCCACATCTGCCTTCCCTCACACTTTTAGAAAACCATCCAACAGCCGGGCTTGGTGGCTCAGCCTGTAATCCCAGCACTTTGGGAGGCTGAGGTGAGTGGATTGCCTGAGCCCGCAGGTTCGAGACCCGCCTGGGCAACTTGGTGAGACCTCATCTCTACAATAAGTCAAAAATTAGCCGGGTGTGGTAGCGCACACCTGTAGTTCCAGCTACTTGGAAGGCTGAGGCAGAAGGATCACCGGAGCCCAGCAGGTCGAGGCTGCAGTGGCCAGAAGCGGCCACTACACACCAGTCTGGGTGACAGAGTGAGACTCCAACTCAAAAAAAGAAAACCATCCAACAAAGCAAACTAGAAATAAAACCTGTATAATAAATACATGTAGATACAGAGAAATGTAATTTGGGATTATTTATGTCCCACCTTTAGTTGATTAGTCTTAAGGGACTCATTTCTGAAAGAAAAGTTTTACTCCCTGATTCAAACCTTTTTTAAAAAGTCCATGAAAACTTATTGCTTCTGGAGGTGGAGGCAGGGAAGCAACTGGGTAGCTAGAGTGGTGATGTCAAGAGCAGAAGGAGTTATTTTTATGTACAGTCCTTTTGGTATCTTAAAATTTTTTTAGTATGAAATTAGATCACCTGTTAAAAATAATCATGACTCTTAAATTCAGCTGAAAAAAAGTTTTTAAGTAATCATGTTTAAAGCCTTTTTTACAGTTGGCTCTCCTGTGACTCAAGTAACAGCTTGATGTCATTGAAATGTGGAAAGATAAGCCATCATATTTTTCCACATTAAAAATTGGTTTTGAAAGTAATTTTTATTTCTGTGTTGTTCCAACTTTAGTGTTATATATTACTGATGCAATGCCAATTCCTGCTTAGCTACACTTTGAAAGAAAAACACACGTCACCTACAACTTCTTTTTTTTTTTTTTTTTTGAGTTGGAGTCTCACTCTGTCGCCCAAACTGGAATGCAGTGACTGCTCCCAGCCACCGCAGCCTCGACCTGCTGGGCTCCAGCGATCCTTCTGCCTCAACCTTCCAAGTAGCTGGAACTCCAGGCATGTGCTACCACACCCAGCTAATTTTTTTTTTTTTTTTAAATTATAGAGATGAGGTCTCACCAAGTTGCCCAGGCGGGTCTTGAACCCGCGGTCTCAGGCAATCCACTCACCTCAGCCTCCCAAGGCGCTGGATTACAGGCTGAGCCACTGAGCCCAGCTCACCTACAACTTCTAAGGCTATGCTGACTCAAGTCTGTGCGTTTAATTCTGCCTTCCTCAAAAAGTCTCATTGAAATAACAAAAAAAAAAACAGAAGCACAGAGAACAAAGCCAAAAAAACTAAGAAATGCTAGAAGTGCGTGCACGGGGGTGGGGGTGGGGGGAACACATACTAAAAACTTCGTCTGCAAGACAGTGTTGGAAAAACTTCATTGAACTTTCAACTATCAATTCTTGTTCTCAAAAAAAAATTCACCTGAAGTGTTGATAATATCTGCCCTACCACGGTCTGCTTCCCATCAAAACCAGAAGTTTAAAGCTACAAGTACTGGGAACAAGTAAACCAGCCAACCAACAGAAAGCAAACCTAGATCTTGGCTCAACTTCAGGCTCCTTTGTTGGACTCTCCTACTCAATTCAGCAGGCTATCGGTTTTCCTCAGGACCCCATGGCTTCAGTTACCCTCCACCTGATGACAGTTTCCAAATCTCAATCTCCAGTCTAGTCATCACCACCACCTCTTATGTACATGAAGGTTTAGCCCCTAAATCAGAAAGGGAAGAGGCTTATAAACCTTCCTTCTTTTGCTACTTTCTTTTTCCTTTTCTGTGCCGTTGTTTGCTAATAATGTCAAATGGCATCATCAAATGTGGCTTATCCCCACTTCTGCCATTCAAGGTTTAAAAGCATTTTTGCCTGTCAGGGTAAAATACTTCCTTTGATCAACCACCTTTTGGCTAACATTTCTCTCTATTTTAGGTTGAATTCTCTTACCCGCCCCTGATTCCAGGAGAGGGACATGACAGCCACACTTTACCTGAAGAATGGAAATATTTGCCCTTCCTTGCCTTACCAGACGGCGCACACAACTACCAGGAAGGTATGTAACAAGACAGTGAAGCAATTAGGTGCTGTTTTTGAAAAAATTTGCCAAGACATCTTAGAGATTCTAAATACTTTGATAAAATAAAAACCTTTAGCCTATTATGACTATTCATAAAATATTTAAATGCTTGTTTGGAGGTAATTAGCCATGCACTAGAACGCCTCCAGAGGAGTGCCAGACTTACACAGGCCATGACTAGTTAACTTTGGCCACTCTCCTGCCAGGATCCCTAGCTAAATAAGTGCTTAACCAGAGCAGGACAGCTGCCACTGGGAGCACTTCCTACATTTACACCTCAGACTCCTCTCAGAGGCAGTTATCAACACCAGCTGCACCTTGCTCGGGACTCTAGCTACAGACTTACAGCGCTAGGTTAGTACTCCAGTGCCCACCTGGAAACAGCTGCAATTGTTTTCCCACCTTTGAGCCATTGCTGTCACAGTGCTCTGCTTGCAAGGTTGCCTACTTGCATGAGAACATGTTAACACCCTCAAAAAAGATAGTGCTGTGAATTTCTTACTGAGTTTCCTAAAACCCTGTATGAGTACTTTGCCTGACTTAATGAAGGACTATATTTTACCATGATATTAAGGACTCCACCAAAATGCTTTTTTGTTATTGTTGTTTTTTTACTTTTTTTTTTTTTTTTTTTTGAGATGGTGTCTCACTACGTTGCCCAAGCTGGGCTTAAACTCCTAGGCTCAAGCAATCCTCCATCTCAGCCTCCTGAATAGCTGGGATTACAGGTGTGAGCCACCACACCTGACTGTGTCACAATGCCTGGCAAAAGGATCGGTGCAAACATATAAAAAAAGTTGAATTAAGATTATATAATGAATGTTCTACAGATTTTCTTTTCTTTTTTAAGACAGGATCTCACTCTGTCACCCAGGTTGGAGTGCAGTGGTGTGATATGGTCGTAGCTCACTGCATCCTTGAACTCCTGGGCTCAAGCAATACCTCCTGCCTCAGCCTTCTGAGTAGCTAGGGCTTCAGGCACGTGCCACCATGCCCAGCTAATTTTTAATTTTCTTTAGAGATGAGGTCTCACTGTGTTGCTCAGACTAATCTTGAATTCCTGGCCTCAAGCAATCCTTCCACCTTGGCCTCCCAGACACGGACTATCGGTGTGAGACACTGTAACCTGTTCGAAAGTCAGTCACAGGCATCATGACACTTCACTTCTAAATACTTGAGGGTGCACCTCCTAAGAATAAGATCATTCCCCAGCATATCTTCTAGTATCATTATCACAGTTTAGAGATCTAACAGGAATTTCATAATGCTATTTAGTATCCAGTCTGTGTTCAAATTTCCCCAACTGTCCCCCAAATTTCTTTGATCCATTCAAGGTGCATGTGTTGCTATTGGATTTTTATGACTCTGTGCTTTCTTTTCATCTAGAACAATCCCCTAAAGATATTTTCTATAATTGTAGTTTCAGTTTCACCTGTTATGATTCAGCTTCTTGGGCTTTTTGTGATGGATATTGACCACAAAATAGTAAGACAAATTCTAAGAAACCAGTGGTATTGTGCTGGAAATAAGTACGACATGAGTTCCTTGTTATGTCATCATTTTTTAATAACTACATTAAGACTACTTCAAATTTTACTACTTGCTAATAAGGGTAGTTCACCTTGGTGTTTACATTTTTCTGTGTATCTCTTAGATACTGTGTTTTTTCACTTGCCACCCAGAAATGGAAACGGAGCCACAGTATATGGTATCTCTTGCTATCGACAAATTGAAGCCAAGGTACGATAGTTAATAGTGAAAAACAGAAAAAAAACCCAAATCCTTTCTTAGATGTTGGCCACTTAGGAAAACACATAGTATTTTTCATTGGTTGCCTGTGATGATGTAGTTTTTTATAAACAGTTTGTAGCTGTTTTTCCAATAGTACCGATTTATTCACATGAATGTTTTTACAAATTGACGTTGTGGCTATGATTGTATTTGTAGCATAATATTTTATACATTATTTTTAGATAGTGATACCTAGATTAATCAACTTGCATCTGAAATACTGTATTTAAATTTCAGGGTGTCTTTGAATTTTCTGTTTCTGGTGTTTGGTACATAACAGAAAAATGGGCTGAGCACAGTGGCTTGCACCTATGATCCCAGCACTTTGGGAGACTGAGGCAGGCGGATTGCTTGAGCCCAGGAGTTTGAGACCAGAATGGGCAACACAGCAAGACCTCGTCTCTACAGCAAATAAAAAAATAAGCCTGGCATGGTGGCACTTGTCTGTAGTCCCAGCTATTTGGGATGCTGCGGTGGAAGGATCACCTAAGCCAAGGAGATAGAGGCTGCCATGAGCTGTGATCATAGTGATTATGCCACTGCACTCCAGCCAGACAGAGTGAGATCAAAAAAAAAAAAACCAACTTAAAAAACAGAGTGGTAATGTTTGTGTGTATATTTGTGTTTCGTTTCTTAGAGATAGGTCTTGCTGTTTTGCCCAGACTGATCTCAAACTCCTCACCTCAACCTGGGATTACAGGCATGTGTATGCCACTGTGCCCAGCTCTCTGTGTGTGTGTGTGTGTGTGTGTTTTTAACACAGATGTAGTAGAATGCACTTACAGTAGCTTCCAGCTACTCACAAGTTTTCTTAGTTATCTGTAACTAAGAGTTTGATTATTCTTACATTTATCTACCTGCCTACTTAATGCCTGACTTACTACAATGACTCTAATTCAAATAAACCAAGATGGTGGCACCACCTTTCACGATTTGCTTATGTGTAGCACTGTTTTTGTGGTGGTGATAATCTCTATGAGTAAATAACTCTTCTGTAAGGTCAGTGATACTCTAAAGTAGTGAATAGTTCTCAGCCTCAGCTGCACATTGGAATCACCTGGAGAGCTTTAAAAGCTAGGATGACTGGATCCCACCTCATAGATTCTGATTTAATAATCTGGGAATGGGGGTAAGGGTGTCTTAAAAGCACCCCAGGTGATTCTACTGTGTAGTCAAGGTTGAGAACCAGTGCTCTAAAACTGGTTTTTAACCAGAATTACCTGAAGACTTAAAAAACAAAAACAAAAAACCTGTGCCTCCCTATCCTTTCATCCTGCTGACTGAATTATAATCTCTGGAATTTGAGCCTGGGCAGTTATAAATTTTAAAAACTTCCTCAAGTGAATGATTAACTTAGTAAATCTTTAAAAAATTGTTTTCTTTGTATAATGAAAATTTCAAATATGCAGATAAGTTAAGAACATAGTACAATGAACACCTGTGTACCCACCACCTCGATTCAACAACTGTTAATGTTCTACCTCATTTGCTCTGTGTGTGTGTGTGTGTGTGTGTATTTTCCCTAAACCAGTTGAAAGTAACTACAGGTATAAATTCCAGAATATCCAAAGTAATTTACTGTGAAAATTTACACACCCAGTAAATGTGGATAATTAATAACTAAATCTAGAGGTAAAGATACTGTGTCAGTTACTCATGTGCACCTTAAATATATACAATTCTTATTTATCAATTACAGCTCAATGAAGCTGAGATAATAAAACAAAGAAAGATAAAAGAAACCTGAGAATAAGAGTTAGCCTGGTAACTTTGAGCATTTGATTTTTTCATATACCTTTACTTACGTATGAGATGGATTGAGCTGCTGCCCTTTCTTGGAAATCTGTTCTTTTTAATACCTTTATTCCCTATAGGTCATATAGGTACTAGTAAAATTATTTCTCCAAAACAGGTCTTATCCCTTGTCACTAACAACAGTCCTCATGTTCTGCATAGCCTTTTCTTTTTTTTGAGTTAGAATCTCACTCTTTCACCCAGGATAGAGTGCAGTAGCACAGTCACGGCCACTGCAGCCTCGACCTGCTAGGTTCAGGCGATCCCTCCACCTCAGCCTTCTAGGTAGCTGGGACTTCAGATGCACGCCACCACTCCTGGCTAATTTTTTATTTACTGTAGAGACCAGGTCTCGCCATGTTTCCCAGACAAGGTCTCGCCATGTCTGGAACTCCTGGGCTCAGGCATTCCTCCTGCCTCTGCCTCTGCCTCCGTCTCCCAAATTGCTGGGATTACAGGTGTGAACCACCATGTCCGGCCTTATAGCCTTTAAATACTGCCTGTTTCCTCATTCTCTGGGTCTGACTCACCCCAGAGTACATTAGGGTCCATTTTTCCAAGTTTTTCTAGCCTAGTTTGAGAACAGACTAGCCAGTTATTGGAGGGACCTTAAGCCTAGGAGAAAGACTTTAGTTTCCTTTGAACAATAGTGAGTCACAGTGGGTGAATTCAGTCAAGAGGAAAGACTCTATCTACTCCTGAGATAATTTAAAGACCAGTCAGTTGAAAACACTGAGGCCCCTTTGTCCTCAGGACAGATCCAAGGAGACATCAGACTGTAGACTAGAAGAAGAGTCTGTTACTTCTTTCACAGCTTTACCTGAGGTTAATCAAATTAAGACTTGTTTCTACTAGCAGAGAACTAGAAATCCTACATGGGCATCCCAACAATTGCTTGGGAATTAGATACTGCTCAGCGCTGGGCTGCAATACAAATCTGCCAGAATTAACTCCAGGCAACATGGAACAACTAACAAAAAACTCCTGACAATTACTTTATTTCTGGAGAACAGGAGGTCTGTTTTTGTCATCTCTTAAACTAGGCAGTCATCTCTGGAGAGGCTGCTCATTTTAACATTAGAATCTACACTGGTTGATTTGCATTGAATGGTTGTTTTAGGTATGGTGATTTATGAAGTATTTGACATCAGAATATAAATTATTTGAGAACAGGGATTATCCCTTCACTGTTATGTTCCCAGTGTCTACCCCAAGTTCTGGCACAGAGTGTGCCTAGGCTGACATTTATTCATTCAGTAAATATTTTCTGAGAGTCTCAATATATACTTCCTGAATTTAAATGCAATAAATGTCTTCTGTTTAATTGCTATTTTTGCATTTAAACGATATGATTCTTAAAATATTGCTATAAAATGTTGCTGATAAATGACTGTTTGTTTTTAATAGGCATTGAAAGTAAGACAAGCAGATGTTACCAGAGAGACCGTTCAGAAAAGTGTCTGTGTTCTAAGCAAGCTGGTAAGAGACTAGATAACTCGTTCATGTGTGTGTTAAATATTCATGGAAGATTTTTATTTGAAGATAAGGCATTATTAAAATAAGAAGAGATTTATGAAAACAATAGTATATTAAAATTGACCAGGGGTTTATTATTTGTTCTCTGGCATCTCCTCATTCTCTGCCTTTCAGCAGTTTTCCTCCCCTTTATACCTCTACCAAGCCCAGGCAGGAAGAAGGAGATCTGACAGGCTGTCAGGAAAGATGTTGACCCTTGACCAACCTGAGGTAGCTGATATATTTGATTTATCCATTTGTCTTTTGTTCCCAAGATTTCAGATAAATAATATTTTCTAAAATTCAAAATACCATAATTACTCAGATTTTATCAGTCATATAGAAGTTTATGACAATTGCAGTAAAAACAATTTTAGCCTTAACTTGCTCTTTAAATTTTTAAATGTTTGACAAAAGGAAGTGACATAGTAAAATTGTACTATAACAGTACTTCAAAATTGCATTCCTTCTATTTATAAATTGAGCAGATGTAAATATATAATCATTTTAACTTTTTATTTTTAAAAAGAAAATATATTTTGTGTGTCATTGCTCTCTTTATTAAATTATTTTTCATGTTCCATGTGTATTACTAATGAGATAATAACACCTTTACCAATAACATCAAAAGCCTAATTCTACTTGTAAAATACAGTTCCAAAAAATCCCCTTTGTGGGGAAAAATCCTCATCTGTTTCATATTAATTATCCTATAGCTATATGATTACCATATGCAGTCATTTCTGCAGTTAAACTAAATTGAAATTAAAACTATTTCATTAGCCTAGTCACCAAATATGTGTAGACTTTGCTAAATTATTTTATCTACAATTGTCCAGCTTTCTATATCTATAGGCAATTAAATGCAGTTTGCTTAATATAAATTGAATTTTGCAAAAATAGTGTTTATTTTGGCTCTGTTACTAAGCTAAAAAAGAAAAAAGAAAAAGAAACCCTGAATAATAATTATCTAATACTGTAAGGCTTAATAATATGATTTTGAGAATGAAACTATTTCTTCCAAGATAGTAATTTTAAATACAAGGCAAGGAAAGTCTCCTAGAAAAGGAGTGGTTGTTATAAAAGACCTCAGGATCAGAAAATCTATAGATTACTAATCTCATTCCTTTGAGAAGGGTATCCTGAAAAACATACATCAATGAAGGGTATCCTGATAAACATACATCAATGAAGCTTTGAGAAGGGTATCCTGAAAAACATACATCAATGAATTACTTTTTCATACTGAGCCAGATGACCAAAGCATAAGAGTATCAGATATTAAAGGAAACGTAGTATATTGAGAGACTTCCTGAGTAATCATTCTTCAAGGGACAATTATAATAATAATAGATGCCACTTATTGAGTGCCTATATGTCAGGTATTAATTTTGTACCAGACATTTTTAATCTATAATTACCATTATAAATTAACATATATCTCAGAAAAAAAAATCTAATTCTCATAGACATGTAACTACTAAGTGATAAAATTGGGATGAAAATCCAGTTTTATCTGTTTCTAAAATAGACACATGGAGTAGGGAGAGGTAGCTCATCCAAAAAGGTCTGGTTGTGCATAGTGCATTGGAGTCTATGTATAAAAATAAAATGGCTTTATATTTAATATTATATTTAAATTATAATAATAATATATTAGCAGAGATATAGGTGGGGGCTTTCAATAGTACTTGTTGTAACTAATTAGAGTTCATACACAGCTTTGGTCTTTGCATCCTGAAAAGGACATAGAAATACAAAAACATCTGAAAAAAGCATTACGAATAAAAAGATAGAAATGGTAGGTGATCTTAAATAGAAAAATAAGAATTAAAGTCGGGCGCTTTGACTCATGTGAGCCTGTAATCCCAGCACTTTGGGAGGCCAAGGAAGGAGGATTGCTTGAGCCCAGGAGTTCAAGACAAACCTGGGCAACATAGTGAGACTTATCTCTACAACAAATCGAAAAGTTAGCCTGGCATGGTAGTGCACGCCTGTAGTCCCAGCTACTTGGGAGACTGAGCTGGGAGGATTGCTTGAGTCTGGGAGTTGGAAGCTTTGGTGAGCCATAAACATAGCACTGTACTCCAACCTGGGTGACAGAGTGAGACCCCAACTGAAGGGAGGGAAGAAGGGAGGAGAATTAAGGAATAAATATTATGATAGGGGACACAAACTAGTTGTTCTTGGCCTCCATAGAGGACAAAACGGGGAAATGAGCTTAAATTTAATAATGGATGTTCAAATAGATATAAAAACAGGCTACTATAAGGATGATCAAATGTTGCCACAAAGTACCTGAACAGTATGCAGAGTTAGAATATGTTTTAAATCTTATAATAACTAATGTTTGAGTCTTATGCCAGATACTTTTTACTAAGTGCATTTACCTATTTTTTTAATCCTTAAAACTATCAGATAAGATGTACTTTTTTTTTTTACATACCCATGTTCAGATCAGCAAGCAGGAATGAAGAGGTTAGGTGCCCAGAGGTATGCAGCTGAGTGCTGGAACCAGGCCCAGTAAGTCTGAACCGACACTCCTAACCACTGTGCTGTGAGTGTTTTAGGCACTTTTTGCCTGCAGCCAAAGAACTAGAACAGATTACTTCACAGCTTTCAACTATGAATAATATGATGCTAAAGTTGACAGTTACTAACTTTTTTCTCCCTGTTCTCGTCAAATTAAAAAGTTATGGGATTTTGTCTGTTTTTCTGTCATCAACCTAATGGTAATTTCTCTTTTTTTTCTTTAAGCCTCTCTATGGCTTACTTCAAGCAAAACTTCAACTCATTACTCATGCATATTTTGAAGAAAAGGATTTTTCCCAAATTTCCATTCTAAAGGTACCTTTATATTCCTCTATAGATACATCTGGCCAAAGATAGATTCATGAATCAAGTAAATCTTGTCAGTAATACTGTGGAGGATAATCATTTATTAGCTTTAAGAAAGACATTCTTCTTTGAAAATACATTTACATTAAACATTGAAGGACCAGGGTCTGTCAAATACTTACTGAATTTAATCAAACTGTCTTTTTTTTAAGGGAATAATGATTACAAATAACTGTAACATTAATGCTTCTCTTACTGGATAATAGCCCTTTTGCTAGGGCATTACTTCTATAAACTTGCTTATCTTATTAACAAACTGCATAATATTTTTATACATCAGACTTCAGTTTCCTACCTCCCAATACATAGACCAGAAAAACCAGATGATTATTTTATTTTAAATGGATGTGTTTTTCTGAAGGCTATGGTTATGGTACAGAATATGAATCTCCTGGAACCTGGTGAGAATAGAACACTTAGGCACTTAGCAAGGAAGTGCAGGGAATTTCTCCCAGGAGTTCATACTACCATGTGAGTTAATCAAGCTCTAGAATGTAGAGGGAAGAAAGAATACCCTGAATAGCTTTTCATACTTCCTGCCCACATCTTTCCTGACATTGTTCATGTCTGAAAAAATAGAAACTGGCAAGATTTCAGAGCATCATTAATTGTTTTCAAATTTAGTACCTAGCAGAACAAACTACCTCAATTAAGGAACCAACTTTTTTCTGATCATATTTCTAGTTCAGTGTCTAAAATTATAGTAAAATGTTCTAAACTCAATCTATATTTTATAGGAGCTTTATGAACATATGAATAGTTCCTTGGGAGGAACTTCATTAGAAGGATCCCAAGTATATCTTGGTAAGTAACTTTTTTACAAATTAGAAGAGATGCCCTCATTTCTTTTTGTTTGGCAAGCTGAGTTGCATGTAAAACTTCATGATCAGAATTACATCTCTAAATGGTATCTAAATTCTTCAACATTTGATGCTGCTTCTTCCTTAAATATCTTCTTAGCGAATGTTTATACCCAAAAAAAGGGTTATTCTACTAGCAATATGTACAGCTATTATTGTACAAGGTGAATTTTGCTTTTCAGAATAGCAATGGAAGTTTTTTCTTTTTCTTACATTAATACCAGCTTACTTCCCTTTCAGGGAGGGAGAGAGAGCAAGAGAATGCTGCTCAGCTTTTTTGTATTCTAAGATTCTTCAGATTGGGGATTTTAATTTATACTATCTTGACAACCTAGAATATCCATTGGTGTCCAGGGCTCTCAATAGGCAACTCAATAAATACCCTTTTCATGACAAAGAAAGTTTTAATGAAATAGTGATTTATACTTGCTCAATTCTTATGTTAACATGCAGTAGCCAAGTGGTAGTTTATTATTGCACTCCTGTGTGTAAATGTAAGCTATTATTCTGTGTAATATGAGTTCCTATTCTAAGAACATACTTTTCTTTAAATTATTTTCTCTTGTACTGTGGTGTTTCAAGCAAATAATTGGAGAAGACTGTGTTTCAGAAATAACAGCAATAGAAAAGGCCATAACCAAATTCCATGTTTACATGATTGACTTCCACTGTAATTTAAACTTTATCATTTCTAAATTCGTATAGTTTATGTTTGTAAAATGGGGGAAAACAGTAGTCACTCACCATAACCACTATAACTATCGACATTTACATTAAAATTAATAAAAATTAAATTTAAACTTAAAAGTTGGTTTGTCAGTAACACTTGCCATATTTCAAGTGCTCAGTATTAAAGTAGTCACATGTGATTGGACAAGGCAGGTTTAAAACATTTTCACCTTTGTAGAAAGTTAAATTGGAGCGCGCTGGTTCTGCATATATATGTACTTAATCAACTATCACATAAACATTTGAATATTTGTATATTCCTTCTTTCTTTTTTACCTTCCTTACCTTTCAGGGGAAAAAAAACTTTCTTCAGCAAAAACAGTAGATTGTGGTCACAGATTAGCTTTTTTGTTGACATTGTAGGTCTATCTCCTCGAGATCTTGTCCTTCATTTTCGACACAAGGTATTGTTTCTTATTTAATTTATGATGTACAGTACTAAAATGGGAGACACTGTTATTATTGTGTTCACTTAACTGGCAAATTTAGTGTGCTACATCAAATGCAGATTGTGACACACTACTTTAGTTCTTCTAAGACAGTGCTTAGTCTCATAACTGTACAAAATTGAAAGTCTTGGTAGTACTTATATCATAAAAATTTCTAAAAGAGTACAAATACTCTTTACGTCATTGCAGTTTAGGATATTTTTTTTCTCTTGTCTTTGTAATTTCAGCTATCACGAGATTAGAATAGAAAGAAACATGTTTTGATCTTGCCATATATTTTTTACGTTTCCCTAAGCGTGGAACATTTTCTAGTAAAATATGTATACATACTTATGCTTTCTGTTCTTTATTCTTTTTTTTTCTTTTTTTTTTTCTTTTTTTTTTTAAGCAGGATTTATTGAGAGGATAGAAAAGCTCCCACAGTGGGAGGGGACCCAAAGGGGTTGCCCTGTTCTTTATTCTTTTTTTTTTTATAATCAATATTTTTTATTATGATATTGTGGGGTACAGTTAAGGGTTAGGTATACAAATACGTTTCGTTCAGGCACCCTTGTTGATAAGAGGTGTTTCCCCGTCCCCAGACAGATATTGTTCTTTATTCTTAAAGCATGTGTTGACTAGGACATAAACATATTGCTTATTTATTTAACAAACACTTATTGAGCATCTGCTATGTCACCTTCTGTACAACCAGAAATAAATGAATAGTTCTTGCCCTTTTTAAGGAGCTTATAAACATTTCAAGCAAAAATGGCACTATTCCTTCAAGAAAAGATAATTTCAGTTAGATATTTAAGTGATTCTTGAATTTTTAGAGAATGCAGGTAGTATTTCTCAATTTAAGTTTATAATATTTCATGTATTTTTTAAGTGCTATAATTATTTAATATTAGTGATTAAATAATATATGATTATGTTTTAGGAAGGGAGAAGGCAAGTGAATTATAGACTTGAGTTTCTCATTTCAGTACATTTCTTTTTTTTCTTCAGGTTTTAATCCTGTTTAAACTAATTCTTCTTGAAAAAAAGGTGAGATCTGAAGTGATGAAAGGAAGAATGAACACTTGAATTTTTATTGCTGTTTTTTACATATGACATAAAGTTGGAAATAATGATGAAATATTAAGACACTTTTTGCCTATCAAATTGTGGTGAGCTGACGCACATATTCTTGTTCACTGCCATAGAAGTATAAATTCATGCAGTCTTTCTGGAGGCAGTGTGACTGTATATCCCATTACCAAGACAATTTTCAATATAGGTAAAAAAAACCCAATTTTAAACTGACTTAAATAAAAAGGAAGTGTGTTGACTCACTTCAGATTTCAGGGTTGACTCAGTGGTTTCAGAGTGTAATTAAGTATCCAGGTTTTTTCCATCTCTTTTCTCTACAGTACATAGTGCTAGCTGTTTCTAGAACCTGGTTTCCCTTGTAGTGTAGGAAATTGTCAACAGTAATTGAGCTATTTGCTACCTCAATCGCAACTGGTGGCAGAAATAATTCCTCCTTCGAAACCATTTAATAACAGTTCTGGCCTGGCCAGATGCAGTGGCTCATGCCTATAATTCCAGCATGTTGGGCAGCAGAGGAGGAAGAATTGTTTGATCCCAGGAGTTCAAAACTAGCCTGAGCAACATAAAAAATATAGAAAAATTAGTCAGATGTGGTAGTACTGTCCTATAGTTCCAGCTACTCAGGAGGCTGAGATAGGAGAATTACTTGAGCCAAGGATTTGGAAGCCACAATGAGCTGTGATCATTCCACTGCAAAAACATGCTTGCACTGATTGGCTTAAACTTAGGTTAATGACCATTCTCTACTACAAAGGATGGAATTTCCGTGATTGGTTTAGAACAGTCTTCTACAAACTAGACCGTAATGCTAAATCTGGCCCACTGCCTATTGTTGTAGATAAAGTTTTATTGGAAAACAGACCAATTCAATTACTTATTGTTTATGGCTATTTTCACACAATAGTGGCAGAGTTGAGTAGTTGCAACAGAGATCATATGATCCACAAAGCAAAAAATATTATCTGACTCTTTATAGAAAAAGTTTGCTAACCTCTGGTTACACTAATCAAGAGCTATCCCTGGATCTGGGGCCAATTTTATTTACTGAATTACTGTACTCAGCAGAGTAGCGGTAAAAAGAATATTGGGGAGTTGGCTACATACAGTGTCCACTATGGTTCATTACCTTAAAAATATTTCTTCCTCAGTGGCTCACGCCTATAAGATCCCAGCACTTTGTAAGATGGAGGCAAGATGATTGCCTTAGCCCACAGGTTCAAGACCAGCCTGGGAAACTTGGCAAGACCATGTCTTTACAATAAATCAAAAAAATTAGCTGGGTGTGATGGCATGCACCTGTGTTTCCAGCTACTTGGAAGACTGAGCCCAGCAGGTCAAGGCTGTAGTGCCCATAAGTGTACCACTGCACTCCAACCTGGGTAACAGAGTGAGACTCTGACTTCAAAAAAAAAAAGAAAGAAAGAAATTAATGAGGCTGGTCTCGGTAGCTCAGCCTGTAATCCCAGCACTCTGGGAGGCCGAGGCAAGTGGATTGCCTGAGCCCATGGGTCCAAGACCAGCCCAGGCAACTTGGCAAGACTTCATCTCTACATTAAATAAAAAATTAGCCAGACGTGGTAGTGCATGCCTGTAGTTCCGGATACTTGGAAAGCTGAGGCAGAAGGATTGCCAGAGCCCAGCAGGTCGATGCTGGTGTGGCCATGAGTGTGCCACTGCACTCCAGCCTGGGCAACAGAGTGAGACTTCAGCTCAAAAAAAAAAGAAATTAATGAATCCAACATATACTAGTATGATGTTTCAAGAATTTTTAATTCTTTTAAAACATTTTTTAATTCTTAAAATTGCAATAAAATACATATAATCTAAAATTTACCATCATAACCATTTTAAGGTATACAGTTCAGCGGTATTCAGTACCACATTGTTTGCAACCATCATCACCATCTAGCCACAGAATACTGTACATCATGCAGAACTGAAGCTCTGTCCCTGTTATGCAGTGACTCCATTCTCCATCCCCACATCCCAGCCTCTGGTAGCCACCGGTCTACCTGCTCTCTCTGAATTTGACTACTCTAGGTTCCTCATTTACATAGAACCAGGTTGTGTTTCTTTTTGTGACTGGCATATTTCATTTAGCACAATATCCTCAAGGTTCATGCATGTGCTAGCATGTGTCAGAATTAACTTCCTTTTTGAGGCTGAATACAGCCTCAATGAATACTTCATTTTTTTGTTTATACATTTATGTAAGAAATGGCATTATTCAAGGCATTATTCAAACTCAAGCTGTAATTGCTACTGTTCCTCAGCAGACATGTAATCAAACACCTATAGAGGAAAGAGATATGTATCGCATTTACTTATAGACACATTTTCTTATTATAAGATTTCTTTAAAATTTGCACCTTGATCCTGGGCCTTTTTTAATTTGTCAGGGGTTATATTTGTTGTAAATCACAGAAGACACTATTAATAAAGTCCTATGTGATTTCTTAAAATGTGGCCTATTATTTAATTGTTTAAAAATACTCAGGCAAATCTTTGCACTATTTTTTTTTTGAGTCGGAGTCTTACTGTGTTACCCAGGCCGGAGTGCAGTGGCACACTCTCAAGGCCACCACGACCTTGACCTGCTGGGCTCAGGTGATCCTTCTGCCTCAGTCTTCCAAGTATAAATCTTTGCACTTTTTAAAAACTAATTTAACATTAGTCAATGTCAGTTTTACTACAATATCTAACTGAATCCTATTTCTAATTTATTTTTTTCTCAATTGGTAAAATGTCAAATCAACTGAAAAACTGATGGAATATCGTAATGAACATCTTATACCCTTTATCTCTGTGTACCAGTTGTTAACATTTTGCCACTTTTCCACTGTATTGCTTCATATATGTTCATTTTTTTCTCTGAATTATGATACTTTGGAAGTAATTTATAGACATCTTGGTACTATAAGGATATAGTTGTTAAGAATAAGGGCATATTCTTACATAACCAAAATAACACTTTCACATTCAAGAAATTTAGCATTGAGACAATAAATGAAATTTAATATATAGTCAACTTACACATTCCTCCAAATGTCATCATAATGTCCTTTATAGCTGATTGTTCTTTTCCGTGTGGGATCCAGTCAAGGGTCGTTATACTGCATTGCCAGCTCTCTTTAATCGCAAACAGGTCCACCACCTCTCACTCTCATTTTTGTTTGTTCTTTTCTTCTTATATTTCATGACATGGCACTTTTTAAACAATCCACTCTAGTGTTCTAGAATGAGGTTTGTCTGATTGTTTTCTTATGACTAGTTTCAGATTAACTTTTTTTAGCAAGAATCCTACACAGGTAGTGGTGTGTCCTTATCAGGAAATGAAATCAGGAGACCCATAACTATTTGTAGAACTGTTATTGGTGATCAGTTGTTTAAGGTGGTGTTCACCACCTTAGTAGGTAATCTCTGCAACAGTAGTTTTGAGGCATTGTAAATATCCTGTTATCCAACAACCTTTCACAGTAATTTTAGCATCCATTGATAATTTTTACCCAAATCATGGTAGATGCTAAATGGTGATTTATTTTTTATCATTCATTTTATCATTTATTAGTTGTTATTCTTCTTTAAAGAATTTTTCCTCTCTTCCCCCCCCCCCTTTTTAAAATTATCATTATTTGGTCTTGTGGATTTTCTAATTTAATTTTGATTGAATTCATTTCAGGTTCTTTTTTATATTTCTCCAGTGAATAAATTGGTGGGTGCATTGATGACTGTGTTATCCCTTTTTCCAGGTAAGAGGACAGGAATATCTGCTCTTTCTTTTGTTTAACTTATACTAGAACTTAGATTTGATAATGAAAGTTTTCAAAGATAAACTTATTAGGGCTAACATTCCTGTTTTTTAATGTGACATTTTCTTTTTGGCAATAGGTTTCTTTTGTCTGAGTTTTCATTCTTTTTCCTTTTTTTTAATTAAAAGATGTGCAAATGTAGCTTATTACATTTTTATAGGCCCCTGGGTGCTATGGCTCATGCCTGTTATTCAAGCACTCTGGGAGGCAGAGGCAGGAAGGATTGCTTGAGCCCAGGTGTTGGAGGCTGTGGTGAGTCATGATTGTGTCACTGCACTCTAGCCTGGGCAACAAAGTGAGACCCTGACTCGAATTTCAAGAAATTTAGCATTGAGACAATAAATGAAATTTAATATATAGTCAACTTACACATTCCTCCAAATGTCATCATAATGTCCTTTATAGCTGATTGTTCTTTTCGGTGTGGGATCCAGTCAAGGGTCGTATACTGCATTGCCAGCTCTCTTTAATCGCAAACAGGTCCACCACCTCTTTTTTTTTTTTTTTTTAAATGGAGAGTTACACTATCTAAAACATAATAGGCCGGGTACAGTGGCTCACGCCTATAATCCTAGCACTGTGAGAGGCCAAAATGAAAGGATTGCTTGAACCCAAGAGTTCAAGACCAGCCTAAGCAACATAGTGAGAATTTGTCTCTACAAAAATAAAATAAAAATTAGCTGGACATGGTGGCACATGCCTATAGCCCCAGGTACTCAGGAGGCTGAGGTAGAAGGATCACTTGAGCTTAGAAGATCAAGGCTATGGTGAGCCATGATCGTGCCACTGCCCTCCAGCCTGGTTGCAGAGTGAGACTCTGACTCAATAAATAAATAAGCAAACAAACAAATAAATCAGAATATAAAACTCTTACTTTCTTCCATAATATCATAAGTCAAGCTATTCTCCAATATTGTATATTTTAGGCATGATCGAACATGGTCTTAGTGACTGTTCTCAGTACCGACCGCGAAAGAGTATGTCTGAAGATGGTGGGCTTCAGGAAAGTAATCCATCTGCAGATGATTTTGTTTCTGCGTCTGCCTCTGACATTTCAAGTACCAACTTGGGAACTGTCAAGAAAATCATGGCAGGAAACCATGAAGAAGATGTTGCCATCAAGATCGAAGAATCTTTGTTCCAAGTAGATGACAGCAGCAAAGGACAGGAACCCAACAATACTAATCAATACTTGAAACCTCCATCTCGCCCATCTCCAGAGTCCTCAGAAAGTGACTGGGAGACCTTGGATCCTAGTGTCTTAGACGACCCCAACTTGAAAGAAAGGGAACAGCTGAGGCCAGACCAGACAGACTTATTTCCAAAGGACTCTGTCCCTGCAGAAAATCCTCCAATTACTGTACAACCTCAAGCTAATACAGGGCAAGTAGTCCTGGTACCAGGGCTCATTTCTGGTTTGGAAGAAGACCAGTATGGCATGCCTCTGGCCATCTTTACAAAGGTAAAGTGAAATGTCCTTTGCTGAGTTCCTTAAATAATATGATAAAAACCTTTTAGAGTTTAGCTTTCATTGTTGAACACTTTTTTAGGTGGGAAAATTTTCCTTAAAAACTATAAAATACACACCAAGGCGGTGTCTCACACCTGTAATCCCAGCAAACAAGCCTGGGCAATATAATGATACCTCGTTTCTACAAAAAAATCAAAAAATTAGTTGGGCATGGCGATGCCCGGCTGTAGTCCCAGTTACTTGGGAGGCTGAGGTGGAAGGATAACCTGAACCCAGGAGGTCGAAGCTGCAGTATGCTGTGATCATGCCACTGCACTCCAGCCTGGGTGACAGAGTGACACCCCAACTAAAAAAAGCAAATAAAAATATTAATAAAAGGCCAGGCACAGTGGTTCACACTTGTTCCAGCACTTTAGGAGGCTAAGGCAGGAGGATTACTTAAGCCCAGGAGTTTGAGACCAGCCTAGGCAACATAGTGGGACCTTGTCTCTACAAAAAACCAAAAAATTAGCCAGAAATGGTGGTGCACTTACAGTCCCAGCCACTCGGGAGGCTGAGGTAGGAAGATTGCCTGAGCCCAGGAGGTCAAGGCTACAGTGAGCCATGATTGTGCCACTGCACCCTAGCCTGGGTGACAGAGACCCTGACTCAACAACAACAACAAAAAGTAAAAACCCAATAAAATACATACCAAATGTATAGTGCTATTGCATCTGTGACCATAGTATAAGGCTAGAAGGGAAGTTATTCAGGGATTTTGATTGGTAGCTGATAAGTGTTTTGAAAATTAGTAGATGTAAAGTCAACAGTCACTCTGTTGAGTCTGTTTTTAATTATTCAAATTTGTTTGAAAAAAAAAAGTGAATTGAGAATTCCAGACAGACCTGATTGCACTTAATAAACACAGGCATACCTTGAAGATATTGTGGTTCAGTTCCAGACCATCACAGTAAAGCAAATCACACAAATTTCCTTGCGCATATAAAAGTTGTATTTGTACTGTACTGGAATCTATTAAGTGTGCAATAGTATTATATTTTTAAAACAATATACATATCTTAAAATTTTTTTTTTTTTTTTTTTTTTTTTTTTGAGTTGGAATCTCACTCTGTCGCCCAGACTGGAGTGCAGTGGCCGCTTCCGGCCACCGCAACCTCGCCTGCTGGGCTCCGGCGATCCTTCCGCCTCAGCCTTCCGAGTAGCAGGAACTACAGGCATGCGCTACCATGCCCGGCTGATTTTTTGATTTATTGTAGAGATGAGGTCTCGCTGCCCAGGCGGGTCTCGAACCCGCGGGCTCAGGCAATCCACTCACCTCAGCCTCCCAAAGGCGCGGGATTACAGGCTGAGCCACCGAGCCCGGCTCATATCTTAATATTAAAATACTTTTCTACTATCAAATGCTAATGATCATTTGATCCTTCAGTGAGTCATAATCTTTTCACATTGAGGTCTTGCCTCAATGGCTACTGACTGCTCAGGGTGGTGGTTGCTGGAGGCTGGGGTGGCTGTGGAAATCTCTTAAAGTAAGACCACAATTAAGTTTGCAACATCAGTTGACTCTTCCTTTCTTTTTTTTTTTTTTTTTTTTTGAGTTGGAGTCTCACTCTGTCACCCAGACTGGAGTGCAGTGGCTGCTCCCGGCCACCGCAGCCTCCACCTGCTGGGCTCCAGTGATCCTTCCGCCTCAGCCTTCCAAGTAAATGGAACTACAGGCGCGCACTACCACACCTGGCTAATTTTTTATTTATTGTAGAGATGA